TCTCTCCCTTCCTCTCTCTCCCTAAAATCAATCTTTAAAAAAAACCCACACAGTAAAGTGTCATTTTTGCCCCTCAAATTATCCAAAATTAAAATGATTCATAATTATGTTAATGAGGGTATGAAAGTCTAGGTACTCTTAGGCTGTATTGATGGGAATTTATGTTGGTGTAGTTTTTTAAAAATTATTGTGGTATAAGATACATAACATAAAATTTACCATTTTAAACCTTTTTGTTGTTGTTGTTAATGCTCACCTGAGGATATTTTTTCCATTAATTTTTAGAGAGAGAGGAAGGGAAGGGGGAAGGAGGGGGAGAGAGAGAAAGAAACATCAATGTGAGAGAGAGACATAAATTGGTCGTCTCCCACACATGCCCCAACTAGGGCCAGGCATAGAACCTGCAACCTAGGACCTGCCTTTGACTGGGAATCGAACCCAAGACCCTTTGGTGCATGGGCTGATGCTCTAAACAACGAGCAACACCAGCCAGGGCCATTTCAACCATTTTTAAGTGTACAGTTCAATGTCATTAGGGCATTCACATTGTTCTGCAACTATCACCACTATAACCTCCAGAGCTTTTTCATCATTCCAAACTAAAACTCCGCATGCATTACACACCAACTTCCCATGGGGGAATGAGAAGTTGGTGTGTAATCCATTCTACTTTCTGTCTCTACAGATTTAATTATTCTATATACCTCATATAAGTGGAATCACACAGTATTTGTCTTTTTATGACTGGCTTATTTCACCTAGCATCATGTCTCCAAGGTTCATCCATACTGTAGCCTGTGTCAGAATTTCTTTCCTTTTTAAAGCTGAATAATATTCCACTGTGTGTGGTGCAATCTTTTTGAAAGGCAATTTTGTAGTAATTGCAAATTTTTAAATGTCATATTCTTTGATACAGCAATGAGACATTTACAAGGATGTTCATTGCAGCACTATTTTAACCGTGAAAAATGAAAAACAATCTAAATATCCATCAGTAAGATGGGTAAAGGGTGAGGTATCCATACTGTGAAACACAGGGTGGGGCAAAAAAGGTTTACAGTTGTGAGAATGCGAAAGTTTGTCCTGAAAGAGGCCTGGAACCATGTGCAATCCCCAGTACTAGGTAGGGAGATGGGAGAGGTCATGGCTGGAACATTAACAGAAAAAGTTAAATAAAAAGTGAAATTGGAAACCACTGGGTTAAAGATTAAACAAGGTCCTTTAAGGCAGAACTTCTTGGAGCCTTTAATATGCAAGAGCATGTCATGTCTCCAGGAGGGAGGTAATAACTTCCTGAGCCCTTGTGACCACAGCATCCTTTTTGCAGTGGTTGTATTTGGAGAACAAAGTTTGGAAAACACTGGTGTTAGAAATTTCTGAAGGTAAAGTGTTCTTTAAGAGGAGTTGTGGTAGGTGTTGTGTGTCAGAGGAGTAGGTCCTAGAACAAATTGTAGGGGGTGGCTGAGACCTACTACTGGGAAGCAAACTTCACTCAACTTCTGACGAAAAATAAGTTAAAAAAAAAAAAAAGGGAGATTAAGAATAGCAATGGGATCAAGATAGTATGAAAAAAGTAAAATCCCAAAACTTACTTCCCTGTTATTGCTGACCGTCTATTTTAAGCCAGAACTCTCCTGTGCAGCTGGCTACTTTAGTCAGCAAGGCGTTTAATATTTGCACTGAGTGCAATATACTTTCCCGGAAATCAACATCTGTTTAAAGCTTCCACTTGGAGTCTGCTGGGCCTAATTAAAAGGGACCATGGCTTGCCCCTTCAGATTGAGAAACAAGCAGAGTATAATTAAAATGAAGGGTCTTGAGGTTCAGGAAGTCTCATGAGATGTAGTTTTTAGAGGCCCTGGGAGATGCATAGAGAATGAACCAGAGACTTGTGCATATTAAATCAGTAACTCCACCCAGTTTGGGAGCATAATCTGACTTCAGGGCTGAAGCACTGTGCTGGCTCTTGGACAGGCATGCTTGCGAACAATGCTGATGCTGCGTTGCAAACCACTTCAGGCCTCCTGGAAGTCTATGGGTGGCAGATAGGAAAATAGCTAGAATGGAGTTGAAATATATCTCCCTTCAAAACCCTCTTTACCTTCCTGAGTGAACCAATTAAACAGGGGCACACTTTTTCGTGTGCCCACAGTTATAAGCCAGTGAAGCCAGATTTAAACTCAAGCAGTGGTGTCTCCACAGCCACTCTGAATTCCCTTTATTACACTGCAACATTTTTATAGAGGGTGTATCATCTTTTAAATTTAATGGACTGACCTAGCCGATATTGCTCAGTGGTTAGAACATCAGCCCTTAGAATGAAGGTTCCTAAGTTTGACCCCAGCCAAGGGCACTTACCCCCGACCCCCGTTGCAGGACCAATCTCTGGCCCTGGTCAGCACATGGGGAGGCAACCAATCGATGTCTTTCTCTCACAAGGATGTTCCCCTCCCTCTCCCCGCCTCTGAAAAGCAATGGAAAAAATATCCTCAGGTGAGGATAAAAATAAATGGAATGGACTTACTTTTACCTATAATCCAGTGTGCTGTTCTCATTTTTTCACTTCACTGAGAGCTAGCAAATACTTTATCTTGGAGTGGTATCAGGCTACAAGGACTTACTTTCAGTACGCCAAGCAAGCATTCTTTTAACACATCTTTGCACACAGGTGCAAGCATTCTTTCAGGAAAGACCACAGGTAGAACATATTAATGAATTCCTAAGCAGAAGGTAGACCATGAAGATTACAACTGGGAATGGTTGAGACACAGGTAGGGTCTTTTCCCTTGCTCAAATTTCAATTGTGTGCAGAGTGAATTTGCTGAGATCCATGAATGCCTTTGGGGATTCCTATGGAAAAGATCCTGGACTTAAGAGACAGGAACAGCTGAAACCTTTTCACAAGACTATAGACCAAACCTGTTAGCATGTTGAGTCATAGTGAAGATTTGGTAGAAATAACACAATTGTTCAAGTCCTATTTGCCCAAACCACTATTCAGTGAAACACATTTCTTCTTCAGGGTTATTTTTTTTGTTAATCCTCACATGAAGATACTTTAGGGAGTGGGAGGGAGGAAGGAGTGGGGGGGGGTGAGAGAGACAACTGGTAAATGCCCTTCAGTTTGAGGGCTGACGCTCAATCCACTGAGCAACACCAGCCAGGGCCAGGTTTATTTTTTTAAAATTTTTTATTGACCTGAGAAACATGAGGTACCCAGCCAGGGCCTATTCTTCAGATTAATCGAGACTTTTATTAGGCGTAAAGAAAAATGTGAGAAAGAATAACTTAATCTTTTTTTATGTGAACTTTTTTAGAGGCACGAGGTAAAAGCATTGATGATAAACATTGACCGGTTGCCTTCTGTACACACTGACTGGGAATCACACCCACAACCTGGGTATGTGCCCTGACTGGAAATGGAACCTGCGATCTTTCTGTGTATAGGGACAATATGCCAGCCACAACAGCCAGGGAAGAAAAGACCTCATCTTTAAAACCCAGCTTTACTATCAAAAGGCCCGTTTTTTTTAATTTTATTGCACATTTAGCAGAAAGTCTACTTAATAAAAGCTCTAGTTTGAGGACATTTTGAAGGGGAAGGAACCCAATATAACCTCATGGATTTTATGAGCTCTGTCCAAGTTAACAGGACACACGGATCCGTCTGTAGTTTGCCCCCAACAGGAACCAAGTCTTGAGCAAGTCAACTACGAAACAATGGGACTGAATATGTCACCTTCCAATGCAACAGTGAAATGTGTTCCTTTAAGTCTAAGAAAGGCTTTTTTTAAAGGCTTGATTTTTCATTACCACCTCCAAGGGTTTAACATACATACAAGCAATTGTCCCTCTTTCTGGCCAAGGTATTTATTACCACTCAGAGTTCATGCATTAATATACTGAATTAGTCTAAAATCAACTGCTATCTCTAGTGTCTAAGAAACCCAGAGTTAAGTACTCCAATTTTTATGCTCAAATTTAAGTGTACTTCTAGATGTTTGAGAAACTATTGCTAAGGCAGAATTCCTAAAATTATGCACCAAGTCATTCTGGGGTATATGTGGATATCAAGGGCATATTTCTAGGCCTGGCGCTTGGCTTTCTCCACTTTAACAATGCATCTCTGAATGACCTGCAAGTTGCACCTGTGATTCGTGTTAGTACCAGAAAAGTTATTTCCCTACAGTATAAACTGAGAAAAACCAGGGCTTCCAACATCTTCCAGTTACACCCTTCCCCCCCCTTCAATTTTGTTCCAAGTTGAGAAACCACATTACTGATTATGCTACAGGGAACTGATTATAAAGGGAAAAGGTTGAGAATTTAAAAAGCATTGTAAGAATACAGGGTACCTTGTATCCAAATAGATTCTTATTCCTTCAAAATTCTATTGGTATTGGAAAGATACTGCCTTGTGTTACTGGTATGGAAGCATAAAATGTTTGTGTTAGGTTTAGGTAAGAACGAAGACTTTTATCAAGTCCCAAGTTAGAGAATTTCATTTGCTGTAGCAATCTCATCTTTGTCCTTACAATAATGTAAAGCTGTTAAGTCATTAAGATCTGATTGTTAGGACTCACCTTCAGTTGCTGCCTAACATACCAGGTATCAGCAAGTTGTCTTAGATCAGAATACCCTTTTAACTCACGTTGTATTGTTTCTCACCACCAGCCAGCCTTCTTTTAAGCTTGACAAGGGCGCCACTTGATCCTTGGCTTTGACTTCACATAAGACAGGATTAGGGTTCCATTTCACTACCTGAAGTTAAACACTTGAATGTAGTGCACTAGCAAGCAAGAAAAGCACACAACAGTCAACTGGTAATTTTAAGACTTAGACCAAGTTCTTATGCCTTGGCACACTCTGTTTACCAAAGTTAAATGACTTAATTTTGGCCACATTAACCATCTCAATATTAAATTCCTTCACTGAACACCATTTTTAACGTTAAGAGCCCCCCACCATCATTATATAATTTCATGACAAGAGACACCAAATATGCTACCATGCAACAAAACCTTTATTAACATTTTGAACAGATTCAGTTATTACTGAAACTGGTAATTTCTAAACTTAAATTGGGGTAAATGGCTAGAATGCAGAGTAGTGCCATCATTGGGCACTATGGATGTAAAACTGAAGAATTAACAGCCACCCCTCAGACGCAGGACCAGGTGCAGGGTGGACTCTTTCTGGATGTTGTAGTCAGAAAGAGTGCGGCCGTCTTCCAGCTGCTTGCCTGCAAAGATGAGCCTCTGCTGGTCAGGGGGGATGCCTTCCTTATCCTGGATCTTGGCCTTCACATTCTCGATGGTGTCACTGGGCTCCACCTCCAGGGTGATGGTCTTGCCGGTCAGGGTCTTCACGAAGATCTGCATGCCACCCCTCAGGCGCAGGACCAGGTGCAGGGTGGACTCTTTCTGGATGTTGTAGTCAGAAAGAGTGCGGCCGTCTTCCAGCTGCTTGCCTGCAAAGATGAGCCTCTGCTGGTCAGGGGGGATGCCTTCCTTATCCTGGATCTTGGCCTTCACATTCTCGATGGTGTCACTGGGCTCCACCTCCAGGGTGATGGTCTTGCCGGTCAGGGTCTTCACGAAGATCTGCATGCCACCCCTCAGGCGCAGGACCAGGTGCAGGGTGGACTCTTTCTGGATGTTGTAGTCAGAAAGAGTGCGGCCGTCTTCCAGCTGCTTGCCTGCAAAGATGAGCCTCTGCTGGTCAGGGGGGATGCCTTCCTTATCCTGGATCTTGGCCTTCACATTCTCGATGGTGTCACTGGGCTCCACCTCCAGGGTGATGGTCTTGCCGGTCAGGGTCTTCACGAAGATCTGCATGCCACCCCTCAGGCGCAGGACCAGGTGCAGGGTGGACTCTTTCTGGATGTTGTAGTCAGAAAGAGTGCGGCCGTCTTCCAGCTGCTTGCCTGCAAAGATGAGCCTCTGCTGGTCAGGGGGGATGCCTTCCTTATCCTGGATCTTGGCCTTCACATTCTCGATGGTGTCACTGGGCTCCACCTCCAGGGTGATGGTCTTGCCGGTCAGGGTCTTCACGAAGATCTGCATGCCACCCCTCAGGCGCAGGACCAGGTGCAGGGTGGACTCTTTCTGGATGTTGTAGTCAGAAAGAGTGCGGCCGTCTTCCAGCTGCTTGCCTGCAAAGATGAGCCTCTGCTGGTCAGGGGGGATGCCTTCCTTATCCTGGATCTTGGCCTTCACATTCTCGATGGTGTCACTGGGCTCCACCTCCAGGGTGATGGTCTTGCCGGTCAGGGTCTTCACGAAGATCTGCATGCCACCCCTCAGGCGCAGGACCAGGTGCAGGGTGGACTCTTTCTGGATGTTGTAGTCAGAAAGAGTGCGGCCGTCTTCCAGCTGCTTGCCTGCAAAGATGAGCCTCTGCTGGTCAGGGGGGATGCCTTCCTTATCCTGGATCTTGGCCTTCACATTCTCGATGGTGTCACTGGGCTCCACCTCCAGGGTGATGGTCTTGCCGGTCAGGGTCTTCACGAAGATCTGCATGCCACCCCTCAGGCGCAGGACCAGGTGCAGGGTGGACTCTTTCTGGATGTTGTAGTCAGAAAGAGTGCGGCCGTCTTCCAGCTGCTTGCCTGCAAAGATGAGCCTCTGCTGGTCAGGGGGGATGCCTTCCTTATCCTGGATCTTGGCCTTCACATTCTCGATGGTGTCACTGGGCTCCACCTCCAGGGTGATGGTCTTGCCGGTCAGGGTCTTCACGAAGATCTGCATGCCACCCCTCAGGCGCAGGACCAGGTGCAGGGTGGACTCTTTCTGGATGTTGTAGTCAGAAAGAGTGCGGCCGTCTTCCAGCTGCTTGCCTGCAAAGATGAGCCTCTGCTGGTCAGGGGGGATGCCTTCCTTATCCTGGATCTTGGCCTTCACATTCTCGATGGTGTCACTGGGCTCCACCTCCAGGGTGATGGTCTTGCCGGTCAGGGTCTTCACGAAGATCTGCATGCCACCCCTCAGGCGCAGGACCAGGTGCAGGGTGGACTCTTTCTGGATGTTGTAGTCAGAAAGAGTGCGGCCATCTTCCAGCTGCTTGCCTGCAAAGATGAGCCTCTGCTGGTCAGGGGGGATGCCTTCTTTATCCTGGATCTTGGCCTTCACATTCTCGATGGTGTCACTGGGCTCCACCTCCAGGGTGATGGTCTTGCCGGTCAAGGTCTTCACGAAGATTTGCATTTTGACCTACAGAGTTCAAAAAGTAAAAATCAGTTTATAATTTCAGAATCTTCGCATTTATTACTTTTCATCTAATCAATTCTTCAGAATTGACAGTTAACTATTCTTCCAGAATGCTTTAAGCTATCCACATCTCTCACAAACCTCCAATTTTTACTAGACGGATTTATGATCAATTCAAAATCCCTTTTAACAGACTTGGCTTTAATTCCCGGTCAACAGCACTTACCTGGGTTCCAAGTTCGACCCCCCTCCCATCCACCCCCATAGGGAGGCCTGCCGGACGCAACCAACAGAACGTGTTTCTCTCACACTGATGTCCCCTCCCCCACCCTTTTCCCTTCCTCTATGATAAGCAATGGAAAAATACCCTTGGGTGAGGATTAACAAAAAGACTTTGTGACTGACTGAAAATATCCCCTTTTCAAGACAAAAAATTAATCCTTACTCCAGGATATGTTTTCATTGGATTTTAGAAAAGGGGAGGGAGGGAAAAACCCATCCGAAGAGGTTCGCGCCCGCAACCTTTGTTTGCCTTTGTGTATGGGTGTGTACGGGACCTCTCAATCAACCCAGACACCCGGCCGAAGCCAAATACAAAACTCTTCAGTCACGCTCCAACTTATACTGGCTGAAGGCTCTAAAGCGCTTTGTAAATTTACCATCCATAACTTTCTTCATTAACTAACGCCAACAATTTTCCCCAGACTAAAGCATAGCACGTAAAATTTGAAAAAAACCCCACAGGACACGGAAAATAAAAATTCCCGTTTAAACGTAGCTGCGAAAAGACACCTCTACATCGCGATTCGCAATTAAAAGGTTTCTAGAAACCACACTACCTTTTTTCCGCCTTCCCCCTCTGAAACAGACACGATGGAACCTCCATCGGTTAAGCGTCCGTTAGACCCTCTCGGCGCTCGCGCCAACCGGCCCCGCTCCCAACCGCCCCCGCTCCCTACGCGTGAACAAGGCCCACTCTTCCGGCAAGGCCCGGACGCGGCGTCGCGTCAGCGCGCCCACCCCTCCCCCACACCGAGGCCCANAGTCCTGGGCAGTTTCCTCTCACTTGCGTTCCCCCCGCACCCCTCCCAGGTCTCGAAGGCTGCGAGCCAGCACCTGTTAGCGAACGCGAAGAGACTGCAAGTCCAACCACGTCGAATCACCCCACAGTGAAGACACAGCCCCGACAATGCCTGGCGCTTCTAAAAGTTCCGGCTCGGAGGAGCTGAAATTTATGCAGCGTCTGTTGCTGACTTATCACTTCTACGTAGCCGCCGTGTCCATACGCCGCTGAAAGTAGTCCGCTCGGCCCCAGCTGCCGCGACGCAGTTGGGCCCTTCCGCTAGGCCCGAAATTCCTCGGAGCCGGGAAAAAGGATCCTAAAAATTCAGTTCTCCTCTATTCCAGGCTATCCTTCTCCTCCTTTAGGAAAAAGTAGGAAAGTTACCTGGCGGATGAATTCGAGTTGAGGGAATCTTCCTCGAAAGCTCTGGAAACTTCCTTGCGGCGCCGGCGCTGATTGGTGAGGCCGCTGAAGACGAGGCCTGTGGTGATTGGTTGAGGACACGGTGGCTCGGCTGTTGCTGGGCTCCGACTGGGAGAGCTAAGGTTGCTAAGTGACTGAGCGCGCGTGCGCCGCAGAGGGCGCCTTGGTGACGGAACCGTGTTTTCGGCCTGGGGTGGGGGAGGGGGGTCTCCGTTCCTGCCTCCGAGCCCCAAACCTCAAGATCTCGTGTTTTCGGTCTTTAAGAGGAGGAAGCCGGGGTTCCGCGGCGGCTTTCTGGAAAGGCCGCCCTGACCGGTTCGGAGGTCTCGGGAGCGGGGCGGCGCCGGTAGCTATTTTTCCTGGTATCTGCTGTGAAGCACAAGCCCACCTCCCCGAGACCTGAAGAAGGCGCGCCCCTCACACGCTGGCGGGTTTCCTGTTTGCTCTGTAATCACGCTTCTTACAATGAGTGCTTTTGTCGTACTCATTCTCATAGGCTCCGAAGAGCGTCTGTGGATCTAGACTCTCGTGGGACCCCGGTGCGGGCCCCGGCCCCCCGCCGCGGAGACTTCGCCTTCGGGCCCAGCGCCGCGCGGCTCCGGCTCGGGG